CTTGATTATATGTATAATTTTTGTTTTCATTGTATTTTATGCTTACATTAAAAGCCATTCCCAACAAACCCCTGATATTTGGGGTCGAGATCTCAGCCACAAATGTGGGAACAGAACCTAAAAAGTGGTTTTAAGGCATATTTGTGTATTCAGTTGTGCCTGATAAGTTAATTATTAAATTTAATTGATTTGTTTACCTAATATAACACCAGTGCATAAGCCGGTTACTACACGGCCGGCAATTAGTAACCATACCTCTTGACCAAAGCTTTAATCAAAGGCTTTAAGTATTATTTTTGATAATTATAATTAAATTAAAAAATACCTCATCAATAGCCAGCCCGCAGTATAGGGAGCGCCTAAATATAATAATGTCCGCCGCCGACCAAAATACTCAATACAAAAACCTGTAAAATGAACAAATGCTTTGAAATAAATAATTACCGTACTTGATCAAATAATTTATAACTGTTTTAATAAGGAATTTGTTAAAAGTGTTATTAATTTAGATATTCATTACTAAACTTATATTATTTAATCATATTGCAAAAATCAAATCTCTATTTACATAACTTAGAAATCAAATTATAAAATTCTGTAAAAATAAGTACATATTATAAGTTTATTAGTACTGATAGAAAATGAAATTACTCCGATAAATGTAGCTTGATATTTATGCTCACAATGAAACTCTAAACTCTATTTTCACTGAAATTGTAGTGTATTTTAATTTGTAAAAATAAAATATAAAAATGCAGGGAGAATGAACTTAAAAATAAATCATTAATTTCCACATCAAAGTATACAACAAGCTACAATATATTAAAACTACAATCTCTATCAAAATATACCTCCAATTATGCCCCCAAATAGTGCACCCAATGTCATACTGGAGCCAATCCATGTTTTAATATTAGTATCATGGTCACTTTCCGTTAGCCGGGGCTTACTATCACTGCGGGCCATATCTACCAGTGCCGGTCCACTCCAGCCTTATATTATGGTAACATTTTATAATCCAAATAAAATAAATACTTTTTTTAAACAAATAAATTATCACACAATAATTAACACACCTAAGGCACAGCCTAATAGCACGGACCCCATTTGAGCGGCCAAACACGCCATGTATAGCTTGGCCGAGGGAAGTCGTCTATTTTCCAACTGGATTCCCATTATTTAAAACACTATATAATTATGAAACACAATTAAAAAATAAATTATTGAGATTGTATTTTGTGTTTTGTCATAACTATACTATGTGAAATACTAGGCATCTATTCAATTAGCACTGATATCATGTTTTAATGTCACCTCATTATCTATTAATGCACTTTAATGTGAATAGCTCAATTATGAACTATAATATAATATATATATATATAGTTACTATATTTTTAATGTTAAAGTTTGTAACAAAAAATGTTTTGCGTAATGAAATTGATTATAAAAATCAAAACTATTTATCAGTAAAAAAGGTATTCAATAAGTGATAGCAAATAATAATTAGTACTATATATCATCGATTGAGTAATCGCTTAAGTCTTAATGCAATAATTAGTGATATAGCTGGGTAAGTTATTAAAATAAAGTTAGTACTTTACCAAACCAAAACCTATTACATACAGTATTTTACATACTGTACGTTAAATAGAAATGTTATAAATAGCAAGCTTAAAAATAATATTTATAATAAAATACTTATAAACTATATTTTAATCAAAACAATTCTAGCGAAATAATGTGTTATTGATTTTAGGAATTAATGTTATTTATAAATAAAAAATACATTGCTGCCTAATACTTGTATTGTATGTCAAAAACATATTTTATAAAAATAAAAATATTAAAATCTAACATTTGATAACCTTGATCACATTTTTCTTATGTCACAAACATAATTACTCAACTTTTAATTACTAATTATCACGATATGTTAGCATATATTTTGAATATTACTTTGAAAATAACACCAACTTTTTCATTGATTATCTGAATATTAAGATAATGTTTGCAATACTTATAGCCATTCTTATGAGTTATCAATG